ATTCCTGCTATCCTCTTCAACCCTTACATTTCGAAGGAGCACTGCAGAGCATGCTTCAGTGAAGATAAGAAAGAGCTCATTCTTCTTTCAATAAATGACCCCAAAACTTTTTCTCTTTTTTTTTAATGTATATCATAACATTTCCAGTAATAACAGTCCCGGTTTCATCAACATCACCTAAACAACCACAAAAAAGTCATTTGAATGAAATTACAAATATTATGTATTTGGTATATTGTGGAGAAGCCTACATGTCTCCATTATAACTTAACTTACCTGCATAACCACTGGTATCTTGTGGTTTGTATCATAGCATACTATAAAGTAAAAATCCCTCTTAAACTACTTTAAATTCAGAATTGAACACGTGACAAATCTTCAGATACACACAATTATGCAAGAGATTTACAATTCTAATGGTTTCCTTCCTTTAGTGAATGTGAGATATATACACAAGCACCTTCTCTCCTTCCTTGTCATATTCATCATGATGTTCTATTTCTGGTTTCAATTACTTTCAGCAGCGAAGACTGAGGAGATATATCAATTTATTTAGCAAGTTGGTAACATTGAGACCAAATTAAAAGACACAGAGTTATATGCAAATATGTACATTGTGAGTGCACTTGAATGATAAAGGTGTTTTACATCTAGTCATGGCTGTATTAATGTATTCAAACTTCCCTTCCTTCCTCTCCTCCCCCCCTCCAAAATCCAAATTATAACAGACTTTACACCTATCAGCTAACAATTTCCCTATTTTCCAATATTCCTTAAAGTGATTTACTTTTCCCCCATCAATTCTAACATCTTTAGCAAAAGTTCTTTTTCCCCAAATTAATTTGGACTAGTTCCCTTAGCTTTGGAATAGGCATTGAAATGAGCTCTTCAGTCTGTAAAATCTAAACCAAATCCTCCAATACTTTGTGCATTTCCTAAAGACTACTTTCATTCCAGAAAAGGCAGTAAGGTAACTTGAATTTCTGCACACGTTCATATTTGTGGTAGTAAAGGCTAACATAGGCATAGTGTCCTCTATCCACCAGGGACCCAAGAGGCACATTGCTATGATAGGTGAAATCCTGCAATTATGAACTAAAGGGACTTCACGAACTTTTGTGTATAAAGATAAATCATAAATGAGTGACCTGTGTGTATAGATTTGATAGATAAAAACTAATAGTGATCTGAGCACGATGCAAATGGTATGGAATAGGGGGTGGAATGTCCTGGTTTGAGGTAAAACAGAACCAATTTTGGTCAGTAACTTCGCTTCTTAGCTGGGCCTCTCTAACAACTGAAATTAACAGCACATTGTGCAGACAATGTTCACTCTCTCAGGGTGATAAGACCTATGTTTATAGCTGATGCCCAGGCATGGTATGCAGAGAGGCTCTTGCTTATACTTATTGCTATAACACCCGCAGGCAGATAACTGTTATTTGTCCCGTTGGAGGGTCGGAAGCAGAAAAGTGTAGAGGGGTCCTGTGGGGAGGAGCGGACAGGACAGGTGACCCAAAACTGACCAACAGGGTATTCCATCCCACCTGCCTCTTGCTCAGTATAAAAGCTGAGGGATCAAAGGGTCAGCCCTCTTTCTTCAATGGCCGACGTCTGAGGAGCACTGTCTGTTCATCTGCCTTTGATC